TTTTTTATTAAAAAAAAAAAAAAAAAAAAAAAAAAAAGCAAATAAACAACAAAAAAAAAAAATATTTAAAATGTACATAATTAAAAAAATATCAAAATATTCAAAGTAGGATATCTCTTTGGAAGACCGCCAGTTGAGAGCAGATCACGAACTTGTTCATTGTATATCTCAACCATTTGGACACCAATTTCATAGGAAATAGAGCCCTTCCTGCTTTGAGAAATTTCGAAGAGGTCGTTTAACGCTCGATAATTAACACCCCATTCTGCTTTCAATGATACATCAGGTCCACTCTGAGAAAGAATAACGCATATAAGCCACAATAAACACTAAAAAAATTAGTGTCAGAATTCTAGACATACAGCATACCATAGTATACGTCTTTCCCGAACCGGTTTGTCCATAAGCAAATATGCAAACATTATATCCATCGAGGACAGATCGAACCAATGGTTGAGTGTCTAAAAACACATCCTCTGTCAACAAGTACAATTAAATGTAAATAAGAAGTAAAAAAAGAAGGCACGCACACACACTTCTTCCAAATTGAACTACTTAAACAAATAATCCAATAGGTATGAATATCAATAGAGCATATTAATCTATAAGTTATCAAAATTGGACAAGATTACAGATACCTTGTGAACATGTCGGACCAAAAACTTTATTGAACTTGAATAGTCGACGGTTGTCTTTGCCTTGTTTAGCGGGATTTATAATTACCAATTCACCATTTTCACCAATATACTCAACTGTACTTAGCTTCATATTTTGCCCTGGAAGGAATGGCCGAATTCGACAATACACTCGAATGTTACCTGTGAAATGCCACGTCAGAGAGGGCTCAAGTAAGTAGACAAAAAGGAAAATAAAAATAATACCTTTTAAATCCTGAACCTCGTTATACAATCTTCTGTTTTCGTTCAGAACTGCATGGTAATTCTGAGCCACATCTGCTAATCCTTTGAACTTCATTCCTATTGATAGTAACATCATTAAAAAAAATTTGAAAAAACTCAAATCGCATAGAAAACTGGAGATTAATTAAGCTAAACATACCGAGGTAATTAAACTCCTCAGCATAGATGCTCTTTGTATTCAAGACCTCATGTTTGATGGACTCCACTGAAATCCTTAATTCCTAAAAATAATAAATATAAGTCATATCTCTAATCAACATGGCATGGGCACTATGGATAATAACAATACGGATAACATGACAAAAACCTGAAAAGCTCCAAGCAGGTCAACGACAAATTTATGATAGACGAACTCTTTCTTCTTCCATCTCAGTGATTTAGATTCAGAAAATGTCTCGAGTTCCTCCACCTTCTTCCTGGAATCCGCTAATAAGTATTCAAGTTCATTTAGTTTCTCCTCAAACTTAGCTTTATCCTCCTTAGCATTTGTTTCCAGTTGCAAACAATGATTTTCATGTTCCCTTTTAGCCTTTTCTAGCTCCTCTTTGAGATTTGAAAGCTCGACATCACATCGTTCCTTTTGCTCCTTCAATGCCATCTTATTCTGCTCCTCACAGTTTTTCATCTCCTCTACTTTGAATTTTTCAATCTTCAACACCAAATAAATGAATGTTAATATATTCGGACAATTATGCCACTTGTCAGACAATTATAAGTTATGGCATGAGCTAGATGTACAACATTATTGTCACTTTATGAGTTGAGGCCCTGTTTGCTAACCAGGAATGGGTTTAGGAAAGAACCAAAATAAAAAATGTGAGGAAGAAGTAATATTATAGGGATTGGAACCAATATTAGGATGAGGTGCATTGGTGCATGATGTTCTACAAAATTTTAAAATCAATAGACAAAAAAGAGGGTCCCAGATGAGGTAGTTCTTCTCCATAACTCAAGAATCACCCCTGATTTTAATAAGGTGGACTACAAGTACCAGTCTGAGAACAAATAGTACAAAAGATTCTTAGTAGATATGAACAGCCTAAATGTTTCTCCCCATACAACCAAATTTCACATCAAACTCAAAAACTCATTGGTTCAATTGAGCAAAGTTGAAAACTATGAGCAGCTAAAATGTATTCAGCAAACTCATTCAACAGTTCTGGCATAATGAGTAGATCATCAAAAGTTCAAAAGAAAAGGAAATGACTCTGTATTTCCTCCCAAGTGAAAGAAAATAGCTGGCAAACCATAGCATGCATTTTTAAATAAGAAGTTGAGCTTTCATCGAGATAAAATGAAAGAATACAAAAGAGAATACAGAAAGACAGCCCAACAAGATAATCAAGAAACCAACTATGCAAAAAGGGTCTCCACTCCACAAACCAATATGAAGCATTAAGGTTGCTCCAAACTTTTTCATCAATATTAAGTTACTGTATTTTCTTCACGATAGGACACTATAAAGCAAGGAAGCTACCAAATTCTACCACTAAAAACTAGTGCACTGTCAAGATAAGAAAGCACAATAAAGACAAGGCAGAACGGAAATCATTTCATCTAAATGCCTTGATCCACATAAAAACCTACACCACCGATAGTCATGAACCAAAGGTAACAAAGGTAACAAATATTCATGATATGTTCCTCAGGCGTAAGAAATGGGACGAGTATTCTACCTTCATACGCTGAAGCCGATTCATAACAATCTGCAAAAGTAATGACACCAACTTATATCCAGGTCTGAAAATACAGCATTTTGCTTTCTAAACTGAAAGCCATGATTTGAACATTTGGCAGTCAAAATACCTCATTTTCTTCAGTGGTCCCTGTTGCAAGGGTTTGAAGGGCTTTTATTTTTGACTGAAATTTCTCCTCTCGAGCTTTCAAAAGATTGCTTTGCTGCACAGGTCCAATGTGACAGTAGTTAATTTCTATTTCCCGTGTAAGATAGTAAACTATCCCAAGTCGAAAACAATGCTAAGCAAGATTACATGTTTCAGGTTTCCAGCATTAGTTACAATTCTCTGCTCAAGCACTTGTACAACTTTTCTCAGAATACAAGCTACTTGCTGGGAGAAATTTGAACCAATAAAAGCCAAGTTAGAAATACAAATAAATTTAACGTCCTGGATAAAAATAAGGCCATGAAACTAGATATAGTGTTTTAATTTCTTGGGTTAAAATTTCAGATGATAATCACTCCCATACATGCGACACATCTCCATTTTTTGATTCGACAATGCCATCTAGAATTCCATTGATTGTATTGAAAAGTGATTGAGTAGAGACATTCTGCATAAAACAACCGCAGAGATACTTGAGAAGTGAATATGATCATATTTTGAAGCAAACCATTTACGTAAACAAACAATTAAAAATGGTTCAAGGGATTACCTCAAGATTTCTTGATTTTATCAACTCCAAGATGTTAGAACCAGAAACATCATGATTTTGTTCTTGCCCTTCATGATCCTCAGATTGAATATGACCGTTTAAACCATACGATGGCACTAGAACAAACAAATAAGAAAATAAGAGAATAGAATAAATTGCATCATCAGAATTAGATTTTAGGAAGAAGCATGAAAAATCTGAAAAACTTTGATCCCCACCAAACTTTCTCGATAATTTAAGAATTAACTCAATAAAAGATGTTACTATAAGTTTGGTATATCTGCTTGCTCTAACCTGGTTGCATAAGCATCCAAAAAATCAGATACCAAAGGTCAAAACCATGCATACACACTGTAAAACGTATATCTAAATGTTCGAGAAATGTTATTCAACTTTTTTATCTTATATTATCAAAAGCCTCTTTTTTTTTACTAGATACAAACTTATAGTAACAAATAACAAAGACCACATCCATAACAAATATCATTAAGCTGGAGCTAAATTTAATTGTTGGGAAAAAGAAATCCCCAAGGTTCAAGAACATAGACCTTTCAAAATCAAGAAAGTCAACCGTAAATAAACTTCATAATGTACTCTGAATGAAATCTTTGCACAATTAAAATTCTTCTTCTGATCCTGTACATACTTGATATAACTGAACCATTCTGAAAATCCTGGAATCTTAGCCCAGAGAAATTATTGATTCCATCTAATGATTCTACTTCATATAAGTTCCATTTCTTTCGTGAATAATTTTGAATGTACTCATCTCCAGCACTCAAATCAAATGAAGCTCGAAGTGTGCTCAGGCAGTGCAAAACTGGAGCAATAGATCCCTGTAAACAATTCTCTGCTCAGATCTCAATATATAAAAGGTTTTGAAACTTTACCATCAAACTGATTAATTCAGCATACATATATACATAACTGAACTAAGGTATTGTTTTCAAGTTGGATAACAATTGTGAAAAATGATGAAACACAATAATTATACGTTTTTACAGGAATAGATCTATGGTTATAAAATCCAAGTCCAATTGCGCAAGGTAAATATTGCGAAGGAGCACAAGTATATCTCACAACACCAGATTTTTCTTCTAGATAAAAGTCATGGCACCAAATTCAAATGATCCATTTACTATTCAAGGTTAAACCCATTTTTTACCAATCAAATTTAACTTTAAAATTTCGATTTCATCATGTTGAATTATGTTTTGTTTAATTCTATGTTATTTTAGCTCTAAAGAAGATAATAATTACACCGCTTATTCAAGTAGCTCATTTGAATGAAATAAAAAAAATTCATGTTAAAATTGACTCACTCAAGTATGGAATAATAAACAAGCGTTCACATACTTTTCATGATCCATCTGGCAGAGAAGAATAGTATGTACCGTCACAATCGCATTGCATCAAATTAAAGTAATTACCTGCTCTAGGACAGATGGTTCAAAGCCAGGAAGTCCTAATTCATCCAAAGTTATCAAAAAACTTTCAATATTAGGATTGATGGGCTTAGAATTGCCTCCCTAAAGAAAAGAAAAGAAATTTCTGGAATCAATATTAAAAACTAAATAAATAAATAAACCTAAGGAAATTAACATATGGAAAAAAGTATACAAGAACAGAAATGTTATAAACAAAGGCCACCAAATGTCATCTAACCTGGACTGCCCCAGGGCATAGTTTCTCCAATATGCTGCATAGTATTGTTCCATCGCTCAAGCATGCTCTCAACTCCTCAACAGAAGCATCCAATGGCAAATTTATATGGGGAAGCAAACAATTTAACCACTCCACCAGCTCCAGTTTCAGTTTGGCTAATGTTAGAGACAGCTTAAGGTTAAATATGGATATATGAGAAAAACCAGAATATCTCGTGCGCAAACAATTTCTGATAAACAGAGAGACTTACATTCAGCCATTCACCAGAACTTCCGACCAGCTGAGTACAACTCAAAATATGAGTTCATAACACAATCCACAATGATCCACTCTTTCCATGATCCCCGAGAATGCGGAGCTAAAAGATTCCAAACCACATTAACTATTTTATAATGTTACTAGAGGAAAACCAGAGAATGTACAAAAAAGAGATGCAGCTTTATGGTTTTACAAATATTGACTATAACCAATGCGCACCAATATAAAACCACATTTAAAAAGTTTGCCTGAAGTCGTGCAATGTTGCTCATTGATGAAAATGAATTGTTTTTCTGTATAAACCCAATATGTTCTTTTTTAAAAGACCAGGGAAATCTCCCATGTCCACAAATCCAAGGTTCCTGTTCGATGGCCATTCAATAAACTACCTGTGAAATGCCGTCGAGAAGCTGAGGAAACACTGCCACCCACATTTCAGCTAAGGCCAACCTGGCAATCAATCCTTTCATTAGATAGCAAATTTCAGCAACGTTTACTTGTTCATACAAATTTAACCCCAGCTACACCATGTTTCAAGTACCTAATTATTTCTCTAGAATGCCAATGAATTATTGACTACAGTCCGAATTGAATGGAATTTAATTGTTCTTATCCCCCCACCGCCCATCCCCAAGAAAAAAAAAACTGAAAATACCATACACAAAGTCTCATTTCCTTGCTCAACTCACTCGGCAATCACAACACAATAACACAGGAGCTAGAACATTTAAGTTCTGAGGTAAAAAAGAAAAAGAAAAAAGAAGAATGTGACCTAAAGAACACGAAATATAATCGAAATGGGCCTACAAAAAGAACATGAAAACAGATCGACACGCATCCTCAAAAGGTAGCAAGAGTTCACAGACCCTACCTTAGACGACATGAGCAAAACGAGCTCGTTCAGCCAGATTTCTCAAGAATCTGATAACTATAGCGTCAAAGTGGCCCGATTGAAACGAACAAAATGACAAGAATTAGAGATTAGGACCGGAAATGCAGAGATTCAGGTCTATTCACTGAAGGAAAAATTGAGAAAAATGAAATCAGGCGGGGACTGAAGCCACAAATCCGGTCCGAAAATTCAGAGACAATGAAACAATGTGGTTGAATCGAAGGAAAACATCCGGAAATGAATTTTCTGAAACGAAAAAAAGTTGGAACGAAACATGGAGGTTGAAAGAACCTCCGGTCTCTTCTTTGTTCTTCCTTCTCTTTTTCTTTTCAGATTATTGTTTTTTTTTTTCCTTTTCTTTTTAATATATATATTAGCTTTTTTGCAGACGAAGGTGCTGTACTTTTCTATATTTATGTTTGTGGCCCAGCCCCGCAAAAATCGGAGCCGTGTTCCCGCCTTTTCTATCTGGTTTAGTTAAACCCACGTTTTTATTCAATTTTAATTATGTTTATTCATAGATAATGACGGAATTAGCGATTAATTTTGTTAATTTTATTTTTAATTCGTTTAAAGATAGTTTTCAGTATTTTGTCCTTTTATGTTAGATATTTTTAGTTAGGTTTTAGTTTAGTTTGTTAAAATCTTTTTAAATCCACCTTAAACATCCACAAGTCATAATGCATCTCTAACATCAGTTACAAACGTTCAAATATTATTCATTTTTATAATAATCTTAAAATTAGGTGCAATAACCCGGTTGGAGATGGGAACGAAACATTTTTTTTATAATAAAAGTGGAAACTTCTCCCTAGTATACGTGTTTTAAAAATCGTGAGGTTAACGGCGTTACGTAACAGGTCAAAACGGACAATATTTGCTAGTAGTAGGCTTGGGCTATTAGAAATGGTATCAAAACTAGACACTGAGTGGTGTGCCAACGGAGACGTAAGGCTCCCAAGATGGTGGATTGTGAGATCCCACGTTGGTTAGAGAGATTAACAAAACATTCCTGGTAATAGTGTGTAAACCTCTCTTTAATAGATGCGTTTTAAAATTGTGAGGCCAACGGTGATACATAATGAGGAAAAGCATACAATATCTGCTAGCGGTGGACTTAAGCTATCCGTATAGTTTCATTTTGCTTTTAATTAAGTAGATCTCGATTTCATTATCAAAAAAGCTATCGTTCGAATATTAAGGAGAGAGGTATTGATCACATCGACATTGGGTCGATTGTGTTATCAATTTTGCATATGTAATGCACGTTGTTGACGTCAATGTTAAATAGATACTGACGATAATAATATATTATTGAAGATTCTTTTTTGTAGTTTACTAATTATATGGACAAACTATGGACGTTTGAGATGACAATTAATATCTTCATTCACTGAGTACGGAAGAGTTATATTGACTATATTGACATTGCGCGAGTTTGGATTTATAATATGTCGTGTGTTTTTTTGTTGGACTTTACAAAAATTACACCGACAGATGTGATCATACCAGTATCAATACGTGAATTCTATTACAAAAATTACACTGACAGGTGTGACCATACCAGTATCAATGCGTGAAGTATATTCAAATTTCATAGTTAAATGTGTTTAAACGAAAGTATTATTAAGTTGGTGTGACCACCCAACGTACGGCCACTGACAATACTCTTTGGATCGAGTTAAAAACCTAAATATTAGGAATAAGGTTTTGAAAAAAAGTTGTGGAAAAAATTATACATATAGTAGGGGACCATTTAACGGTACAAAACTGAAATCGCTTCAATAAGTATTATAGACTGTTTTATAACGACCCCATGCGTTGAATTAAATAAATGTCTTGAATTTAAGTTCAAACTTTGACCGTTTTCCCAAAAAATAATTCACATTAAAATAAAAACGTCTCGTATTAATTAATCTTCAAATGGTGAATGGTACGAGAAACAAATTTTTTTTATACAATATTTTATAATATAAACTAAAATATTTTTTAAAATTCAACGATTATGATGTGAAAATCAAGACGTCGTTGGTTTTTTAGAAGGTATAGCTATCGTATCTATTAAACTACGTTTGAATTGGTACGTTTGTCCATTTTCAACTACAATAAATAAAGAGAGTTGAAATTTGAATATCGGAAGAAATAATGTACGTCTCGACTATTTTAGCTAAATTTATATTGACTACCCCTCGACTCGGCTGTGTATATATTATAGTAAATATAGAATATAATTGAGTTGACACCAAATATATCGTTGACTTTCTAAAATCTACAAATTATGTTTGATAAGCACGTGAATAACTGGTTGGATCAGGTTGAGACATATTTTTAGACTCTGACCAAACTATAGAGCCATCCTTATTAAAAGACTGTTAGTTCGGGTTATTTGGATAATTTATTCAAATTATTGTTATTTCTTTAAAATGTTGGTTCATAAAATATCTATTTATTTATTTTTAATTATTTAATTAAAAGTTTAAAATTCAACTTATTATTTGGAAAATTACCTGAAGAGAGAGTTTTTTTTATAGAATAAATAATAAAAAACATAATTACGAAATAAAATATAAATAAAACAAAAGAGGAGAATATGATATGGAATTGAGTTAAACATTGGTTAATTTAGTGGAAGATCACGTGTTTATAAGTGAGACATACTATATCCATTGGTACGACACCATTTGGGAAGCCCAAAGCAAAGTCACGAGAGCCAAAATGGACAATATCATACTATTGTGGAGATTCGTGATTCATAACATTTGGTATCAGAGCTATGCCCAAAACTTAGTCATGCCAATAAACTCCTCAATCAGTGGAGTGGAGTATCAATTACAGTTGAATTATACTCATTTTAACTGGATTAATGAGTTAATACACAATAACTATTTAACCTACGCCATTAATTTTAGTTCTCAATAATTAAAATTATTAATAATTGTTTTGGGTTGTTAGGTACTTAATTTTATATATTAAAATTTTGAAAATAATTTAAAATTATACAAACTAAATAATTTTAGAAGCCCAAGCCCAATTAAGAAGAAGTTAATTTTATAATTAAAGCTTTGATTAATTAGTCAACGAGCTGAGTGCCCAAGCGAAACGGAAGGCGAAATAAGAACCCTAAAGATTGGAAGCTTGAGATTCTAATCCATTTTTTCACACGGCTTCAATGGCGACGGAAGCACCCTCACAAGCTCCATCCCAAGATTTACAGTCCCTCTCAATCGCTGAAGCTAAGGTGCAGGAGCCGGGTTCTTCATCAAGCTCTTCAAATCAGTAAGAAGCTTTTGGTTTGAGATACTTGTTGTTTTCGTCTCAATTTCGTCGTTGTTTTGTATCTGAATTGGACATTACTTGATTTTTTATGTTTTTTTCTTTCTTTCTGCAGATTGAGTTTGGAGGAGAAGTTTAAAATTGTTAGGAGTATTGGGGAAGAATGTATCCAAGAGGATGAGCTGCGGAATTTGCTCGAGAAGAAGCCGGAACCTGTGTGTTATGATGGGTTCGAACCATCTGGGAGAATGCATATTGCTCAGGTAAAGATTACATGAATCTTTGAGTTCGGCCTTCAAATTGTTATCTACCTTCCTCAATGAATTGTGTTACATTTCGATGCATAATGGAAGCCCTAAACTAAGTGAATTGGGTTTAGTTTTCCGTGTGAATCTATTGGAAAAAATGGGACACCAAGTAATTGTTAGATTAATGTAAAATGAACAATTCCCATGTAAGTTTCTTCCACACGGGTTTTTGAACATGAGGAGATGAATTCTATACTCTTGTTCGCTTGTACAGGGAGTGATGAAGACAATAAATGTCAACAAGCTTACTGCTTCTGGGTGCAGAGTGAAAATATGGATTGCAGACTGGTTTGCTCAGCTTAACAACAAAATGGGGGGTGATCTGAAGAAAATTGAGACTGTTGGCCGCTACCTAATTGAGATATGGAAAGCAGTTGGGATGGATCTGGAAGGAGGTAAGGTTGAATTTTTGTGGTCGTCGAAGGAGATCAACTCAAGGGCGTCGGAATACTGGCCCCTTGTAATGGATATCGCTCGGAAAAACAAACTTCCAAGGATAATTAGGTATATATTTGAGACGGGTGCTTGTTGTGTAATGTTTAATCTGCAACGGTATTGACTCATGGTTTGCCTCCCCCCTCGATCCTCCTCCTGCAGGTGCAGCCAAATTATGGGAAGAACTGAACAAGATGAGTTGACTGCTGCCCAAATTCTCTACCCATGCATGCAATGTGCGGACATCTTTTTCCTGAAGGTTTTTCTCTTTCGACTTTCCCGTAGTTTGTTGTTATGCATTTTTCTCCTTGTATCATAAGTAGGCCAAAATGCAATTTGGTACAAATGTTCCAAAATATATTTGTCTCGCAAAAATTTCATGGTGATATAGGTTGTCCATTTTGTTAGTCTCCCCTACTATGTTGGAATGTATGGAGAGCTTATCATGATTTTTTTGTTAATTAGTTGTTCCATTCCATTGCTACAGGCTGATATCTGTCAACTGGGAATGGATCAACGGAAAGTAAATGTACTTGCAAGAGAGTATTGTGATGACATCAAGAGGAAGAACAAGCCTATCATCCTATCGCACCGTATGCTCTAAAATGCGTTGACATTAGTTCTTATTAATTTAGCCAACACTTACGATATAGGCAAAGTAATATGGTGTCAATGGTGGTTGCAGATATGTTACCTGGCTTACAGCAGGGGCAGGAAAAGATGTCAAAAAGTGATCCATCGTCCTCTATATTTATGGAAGACGATGAGGTAAGGCATTATATAGGGGAAATTAAGAATCCTATGTGAGGAGGAAATTGGGGTGGTGGTGCAGTTTGGCTAGCGTTTAGGTCTCATAGCTATAATTAAGAATCCCGTTTGAGGAGGGGAATCAAATTGCATCTACTATTTTAATATTTGTGCTTAGTTTTAGGTTGACACGACTCTGATGCCAGCTTGTAATATTCTGGATCTACGGTCTAACTTGTTCATCTGGCTATAGGCAGAAGTAAACTTGAAGATAAAGAAAGCATATTGCCCTCCATTGATCGTGGAAGGGAATCCATGCTTAGAGTACATTAAGTATCTCATTTTCCCTTGGTTCAAGGAGTTCACTGTGGAACGAAACGCAGATCATGGTGGAAATAAGTAAGTTTTTGAGGATGTTTAGTTGCTCATTTTGAAGTTTTAAACTTTTTTATTGTTTTTTTCACCTATATCATGATCCTAGATGCTAGTTATAATAATTTATCGTTGCCCTGCATTCATTTGTTGTTTTGAAATATTGCAGAACCTTCACAACCTTCGAAGAATTAGTTGC